TTTCTTTCTTTCTTTCTTTCTTTCTTTCTGTTTCTTTCTTTCTTGTTTCTTTGTTTCTTTCTTTCTCTTTCTCTTTCTTCTTTCTTTCTTTGTTTCTCTTTCTTCTTTCTTTCTTTCTTTCTTTCTTTCTTTTTCTTTCTTTCTCTTTCTTTTCTTCCTCCTTTCCCTCCCTCCCTTCCTTCCTTCCTTCCTTCCTTCCTTTCTTTCTCTCTCTCTTTCTTTCTTCTTTCTTTTTCTCTCTTTCTCTCTCTCTTTTCTCTCTTTCTGTCTCTCTTTCTTTTTTTTTTTTGAGACAGGGTCTCACTCCATTGCCCAGGCTGGAGTGCTGTAGCATGATTTCGGCTCACTGCAAACTCCACATCCTGGGCTCAAGTGATCCTCCTACCTCAGCCTTTTGGGTAGCTGGGACTACAGGCATGTATCATCATGCTTAACTGTTTTTTGTATTATTATTATTTGTAGAGACAGGTTTTCGCCTTGTTGTTCAGACTGGTCTAGAATTCCCGGCCTTCAGTGATCTGCCCACTTTGGCCATCTAAAGTGCTGGTATTACTGGGGGTGAGCCACTGCACCCAGCATTTGCAGCATTCTTTCTCTCATTCTTAAAAAATTGTGGCAAAACATGTATATAATAAAACATTCTTACCTGCACAATTCTGAGGCATTAAGTACATTCATATCATTGCAAACATCATCACCATCCATCTGTAGGACCTTTTCTTCTGCATGTCTCTTACCTGCTAGTTGTGTTCTCTCTCACCTGTTACATCCCACAGGACAGGGGAGGAGCAAGTGTCCCTTCCATTAACAATGCATTGAACAGCCCCAGTTTTTGAAGCATATACCATCAGATCAAACTGAACAGTAGACCAAATCCCTCAAAGTTATAGTCACCTAAAGATCCTTAGACAGGACAACCTGATTTTAACACTTCAGTCACTAATTAAGTTTATAAAGTTAAATTCAAAATTTAATAAAAATTAACTCTTTTTTCTTTCTTGTGGATTAAATCTGATGAAAGAAAATCTGCCAGGAGAAAAGATGAGGTGTGTTTCACTTCTCTATCTCTTGCCAAGCACTTTTTCCCAAATACTAGCTTGCGTCTGGCTCCTGCATGGTTGAAGTATGGGTATCAGTGGCTGCAAGAGAAGCAAAAAATGTTTACTTCACAGGTGTCAATCTGAAATTGGCTCTTTAAAGCTGACTTTCTTCTTGCGAGGGGTTTCATGGCAAAATAAATGAAAAAGTTGAAAGACAACAAGAAACTGGAAAAAAAAAACCCCACATTACTTCATACTATAATATTTGGTGGAATTATCATAATATAGTTCACAGTATAGTAAACTCCTTCCTGGTCACATATATGTTGTTTCTAGAATTCCTGATTACAAACATAGCTGCAGTGAATGCAAGTGTATCAAATAGACTACTTTTTAGAGTTCTCTTGGGTTCCTAGCAAAATTGAGCAGAACGTAGAGAGACTTCTCGAATACGCCCTTCTCCCCCACATCACAACTTTCCCTGCTATGAACATGCCACACCAGAGTGGCACATTTGTTACAACTGATGAATCTACATGGACATGTTCTAATCCAATGTCTGTAGTTTACATTAGGGTTGACTCCTCGTGTTGTACATTCTATGGCTTTTGACAAATGTATAACGGCATGTGTCCACCATTAAAGTATTACACAGAATAGTTTCACTGCTTTCCAAGTCCATTGTGTTCCATCTATTCATCTGTCCCTCTCCTCAACCCTTGGCCACCACTAATTTTTTTAATTGTCTCCATATTTTTTATTTTCCAGAATGTCACATATAGTTGGAATTGTACAATATGTAATCTTGTAAGCTTTAAAGATTTGTTTACTTTACTTAGTAAGATGATTACTTAATTCTCTTAGTAATATTAAGTTTGCTCCATGTCATTTCAGGGCTTGATGGCTCATTTCTATTTAGCACTGAATAATATTCCATTGTCTGGATGTACCACAGTTCATTTATCTACTCACCTACTGAAGGACATTTTGGTTGCTTACAAATTTTGGCAATTATGAGTAAAGCTTCTATAAATATTCTTGTGCAGATTTTTGTGTGAGCATAAGTTTCAAGTTATTTGGGTAAATGCCAAGGAGCATAATGATTAGATTGTATGGTAAGAGTAGATGTAATTTTATAAGAAACTGCCAAACTCTCTTTCAAAATAGCTGCAGCATTTTGCATTCCAATCGGCAATGAAAGAGAGTTTTCTGTTGTTACACATCCTTACCAACATCTGGAGTTGGAATTGTTCTGGATTTGGGCCATTCTAATAGGCATGTAGTGGTGTCTCCTTACTATTTTAATTTGCAATTCTCTAAGGACATGTGATATTGAGCATCTTTTAATATCTGTATATTTTCTTTGATGAGTTATTTGTTCAAGTATTTTGCTCATTTTGAAATCTGGTTGTTCATTTTCTTATTGTTCAAATTTAAGAGATTTTGTTTATTTTAGATAACAGTTCTTTGTTAGATATGTCTTTTGCAAATATTTTCTCTTGGTCTGTGGCTTGTCTTCTCATAGTCTTGACAGTGTCTTCACAGATCAGAAATTTTTAATTTTAATGAAATCCACCCTGTCAACTATTTCTTTCATGGATTGTGCCTTTAGTGTTGTATCTAAAAACTCATCTCCTTATCTAAGGTAATCTAAATTTTCTCCTATATTATCTTCTAGGAGTTTTATTGTTTTATATTTTACATCTAAGTATCTATACCTTTTTATAATGTGTAGACTTATGTTGATTTCCCCACTGCATCTCTAGACCTGGCTACTTGCCTGAAACATATCAGATTTGTTGAATAAAAATTCAAGTATATATGTATATGTATGTATTAGTGTATCTATTTTATAAGTGGAAAAATTTATATCTAGTTTCATACTTTGAATATTAAAATGCCTAGAAAAAATAAAATCTAAGTAAGTAGTATATAGAAATAATTCATTATATTTAAAAATTCATGCAATTGTAATGCATATTTTTGTTACTGTAGTAGAAGTTTGTTATAAATTGCAGACTAAGGACCAAAATAACACCAAAATAATTTTTCCATAGGCTAGCTATAAAAATAGATGATTGTATGCCATTTATATATGTGGAAAACATAATTAAAATATCCTAGAAGAGTAAATTTGTAACTGTATTTTGCTAAAGCACAGTATTTTGTATTTTTTGTCCCTCTATCTCTAAAAAATTTATTGTGATATGACATTTTAAAAAGGTGTTTTTGCCCCCAAGGGTGTCAGTTTATTAGGCATGTATACCCAATGCAGTCATGACCAGAGGGAGGTAAAGAATAATATTTATGGAGAGCAGGCATTCTTACATTTTCCCTGAACAACAAAGAATGAAGAAGATTTGCTTTTATATTTTGGTGGGGGGGTGGAGGGAGTGGGGGTCAAATTAAGACCCCATGACTGGAGAAAAGTGGTGGGAGAGAAACCGTCTCTGATAGCTTGGAGATTCATTTGGTGCTATAATATACACTCCACATGAAGGCAATTGTCTCTGTAACATCCAATTTATTTAAAGAAGTAAATTATCATCCATATTTATTGATTTAAAAATTCAGTGTACAGAAAGCCTACGACTTACTCAAGTTGTTTTACAAACTTGGGGTGCTATGTTGTGAGAGTTAGCCTATGATGTTGGTTGGTGTCTTTCTTGAATTTAGTACATTAAATAAAGACACTAAGAAGTACATAAGAAACAATGTATGACTCTTAAAAAGAAACTGAGTTGGGCCAGGTGCGGTGGTTTAAGCCTGTAATCCCAGCGCTTTGGGAGGCCATGGTGGAAGGGATTATCTGAGGTCAGGAGTTTGAGACCAACCTGGCCAACATGGCAAAATCCTGTCTTTACTAAAAATACAAACATTAGCCGAGCATGGTGTTGGGCACCTGTAATCCCAGCTACTCGGGAGGCTGAGGCAGCAGAATCGCTTGAACCTGGGAGGTGGAGGTTGCAGAGAGGTGGAGGTTGCAGTGAGCCGAGATAGTGCCACTGCACTCCAACCAGGGTGACAAGAGCAAAACTCCATCTCTAAAAACAAATAAACAAACAAACACCTTAGTTTAATTACATCAGAGAAAAATCTATTTAAAATAAATTTCTTTATTTAAAAAATCCATATGATAAAATAATTTTTATATGTAACTGCAACCATATTGCTTTTAGGATGAGATCTTGTTGGCTAGAATTCATCAACTATTAGATAGTCCTTTTATTCTGGAAAGATTCTTTGGCAGTTTTTTTCCCAACGGACTAGTTAGAGGGGCCTAAAGAGACAAGTTTTATTTATGATTTAACTGCTGAAAATACACTCCAGTTTCTTTATGGGAAAACCATGGGAGTTAAAGAACGAATAGGATTTTAGGCTTGTTTATTTGCTTAAAAGAAGATGATAGCACCAAAGTCTGTAATCAACAAAGGGTAATTAACATTTCTACTTGTTTTTTATTTCAGCCTTTGCTAGTTGCAAGGGTAACTGCTCTCTGTTTGAAAATCAAACATTTGAGGCCAGTGCATTTCAAATTGCATGTAAAGTATTACTTGCTGTTAGTACAGTTCTTTTTGTTCTGTGTAATATTTGTTAAAATCCCAATATATGTTAATTTTTAAGTGGGCGTGTTCGTGGAGTCGTGATTAAGAAGATATGACAATCCATTCAGACTTTCTTTTCTATTTCCTCTTATAGCCAGTAAAGGCTTGTCAGTACAAGGATTGGGTTAGTGTATTCAGAATCATAGGAAATTAAAACCAGAATGGCTAGCAGGTAGAGTTTGCATAGCTGATGAATGTGTGAAACTTTTTATAGTTTTCATTCACTAAATTTTTTTTCACATTTCAAGTAAAACAAAAAAGGCTCACTTATCCTCCCTTGTTCAGATGAAACTATACATTGGCCTAGATATTAATAAACCTTGAAGATATTTTATAATATTAGGTCTATTCATTGTATACCACAAAACTTAAGGGACATTTGAATTCATTATGTATGATATTTTGCTTATTATTTTTAAGGAGACTGCTGTAATGCTGAAAACCTCAAGCCATGTGTAATCCATGGGTGGCATGGTTAGGAGTGCTGCCACTCCTTATCCTATTAACTCAGGCAGCCCTCAAACCAGCAATACCTCCAGTGATCAAGAACCAGCCTTTCAACATTTTCTGGGCAGCCCCAACAATGTATTGTATGCCTTTCTTCAATGTGGATATAAATCTTCAAGTATTTAACATTATATCGAATCCTTTAGAGACTCAAAGTGGCTCAAAAATTGCCATATTTTATCCAAATGAATTAGGATATTACCCTTACTTCTCTCAAGATGGAAAATCCTTTAATGGAGGAATACCGCAGAACGTAAGCCTTTCTGAACATCTTAGGAAAACTGCTGATGACATTGGAGAAGCTATCCCTTGGTGGAGATCAGAAGGACTTGCTGTTATTGACTGGGAAAGTTGGAAACCCCAATGGGATAGAAATCGGGGCAGCAGAATCGTATATAAAAACCACTCTTTAGCCTTCACTAGAAACCACCATCCTTATTGGTCAGAAATGAAAGTGGAAACAGTTGCCCAAGAGGAATTTGAAAATGCTGGAAGGAATTTCATGAACATTACTCTCACACTGGCTTTAGAAATGAGACCAAAATGTTTATGGGGCTTTTATCTCTATCCAGACTGCTACAATTATGATTACAGAATAAATCCAGAGATGTACACAGGTAACTGTCCAAATGATGAAATTCTCCGCAATGACCAACTCCTGTGGCTGTGGGAAAAAAGTGCAGCACTTTATCCTTCAATATATTTGGATAAAATATTGAAGTCAAGTGTAAATGCTTTGAAATTTGTTCATTATCGAGTTAGAGAAGCCATGAGGATTGCGGAAATGGCTAGACATAATTTTGTTTTGCCAGTTTTTATTTTTTCCAGACCATTTTATTTGCATAGTACTGAAGCTCTGTCACAGGTAAGGAAAAGCACAGTCACTCACATTTTTAAAAAATGGAAATTTGGTAGAATAACTATATAAAGCCTATACATAAATGTCTTAGGATGCTTATTTCCCTTAGCAATACAATGCTATTAAACATGTATATTTCCCCAAATGTCAGCTCAATTCTGAAAAATGTCCCTGGCAATTAGATGTGCACTTAACACTTTTGGATAATGATTCTTACTGGGTTAGCATTCACAGGAGTTTCCTACAGATGTTAAGCTTAAGATTTAAATAATGTGATAGATAGATTAATTTTAGCCAGAGAGAAATTTTAGAACTAACTTCTTAATATGAAAGGGTAGCAGCAATTTTCCAAATCAGAAACATACAACGTAGAGCTTGGGGTAAATTATCAAGCAATTACATTTCTCATTATATTGCATTTGTATGTTTTAATTAGTTAGGCTAACCAAAAAAAATTACACAGACCTTCTTGATGTTGTCTTTAAGAGTCTAAAATGCAATCTAGTGGTTATTGTCAAGGTATTAAAACTGGTTTATATAAGGAGAAAGATACTATCTTTAGACTGATCACAAAGCTGGAAGCCTACAGATGTGTGGATGAGCTTGTTTAGAAGATAATAAGTTTACAGACATGGCAAGTGTTCGAACTTTAACTAAATTGTCACATAGGACATTATTGTAAGAATTCAATCATTGGATGGGTGGCTAGATAAGAAAACTCTCAAATCTCCATCTATACCTGAGAGCCAACAATTTTTTATGCCAGTACCCAACACAGAAGCAAAGCTGTTGTATAGACAATACACAGCTCACTTAGACCACTTAGGTTTGAGATAAGGCCATTTAAAAGCAGTAGCAATTTTTCCTCAAATATTTCAGAATAAAATCCATGACTCCAAATATTATTAATTAGACTTGACACATTCATCTTTGCAGGATTACTCAGTATTATTCAGAATGGGCTGTTCATTGAATAAGTTTAGAAGGAAAAGAACTACAGCATTAAGGCAAAACTTTGGAAGAATCTCATGGGTACTTAATCCATCTCCCACCCAAATACAAACCCTTTCTTACCTGGCCTCTGCTTTAACACTTTTTGATGGGGCACTTTGTATGGTTAGAAGGGAAACTGCCATCTGGGGGAAATATTAATTCCTAGAAAGTTTTTGAGTATATTTAATCTACTTTGCTCTTAATGACTTCATACTGTTAGTTCTAATTCTGATGCAACATAGAATACATCAAATCCTTCTTTCAAAAGCTAGTTGTCCAGGTATTTTAGGACATCAGTCATGCCTACCAAAGTCTTCTCGCTAAGATATTCCTCAAGTGACGCCAGCTTTCTCAAATCATGTCACTTTCTTAAATCCTTTTCAGAAAAAAACTTGAGTTATATTTATTCATTCAGAAATTCTTGAGTGCCTACGTTGTATCAGGAATAACATGTTATTAGTAATAACAGTAGAAAATAATAATAATTAATGCAGTCAAAGAGTTCACCTTGAGAGAAAATGGAAGAATGAGATGAGCCACATTTTCACAAAAGCCTTGTGCATAGCTTTCCTATTTTTGGTGCTATTAGACTTTTAAATCTTTTTAATTTTTAATTTTTGTGGGTACATTAGACTTTTGAAATAAATTATAGGCTAAGTATCACCTCTGATCTTTACTTTAGAAATTAATAGGCTGCATTCTCTATTCACCAAAATATATAGAATTACCTGAGCATTATATTGAATTGTTTTAATGCTTTCCTATTGCCTTCCATTTATCACATATCAAAAAACAGTATGGGTTTTTCTCACTTTTTGTCTAAATTACATAACTTTCCAATGCATTTTTTTTTAAACTAGTTCTGGGTTGGTATTTTCTTTTAGGAGTGTCTCAATTTAAACAAGAGACTACATTTAGGTTTAAGGAATGTGATACTAGTCAGTATAATGGAAGAATGATTTCCTTTCTTGTATTACTTAGACAAATTGCAGAACATAAGCAGTAGTATTGCTGAAACCTTCCTGTAATGCAGGAAAGTTTACAGTGGCGTGACAATTTACTCATTGCAGTCTGTGAGCACTCCACCTTTGCACTGGATCTCTGACTCTCCATAACTTGTAGGGGAGAAAAGAATGCAGATTGCTCCATCAGTCATCCCCTTTGTCTCCCATGTCTCCCTATTTCCTACTTCTTTGCTTTCAGCCTATATTCATTAGCATAACCGCCTCAGTTTCTTATCTTGGTGAATTGTAATCTACTTAGTCACCTAATTTGAAAGTGACTTGGCTGACTCCCTTCTCCTCTGTCCATTATCCAATAGGTAACTAAAATTCACCCATCTTTATTTCTAAAAAACTCTTCAATCTGGCCCCTCTGCTTTACAAGGACTGACATTGCCTTTGTTGAGGCATCATCATTTCTTACTGAACAATTTCTATCACCTCCTAATTAGTGTTCCTGCCTGTACTGTCTTGATCTTCCCCTCCAAGCCATTCTTTACATGCCAAAAGAAAAAAAAAAAAATCAAAGTTGCAAGGTTGTGTCTTCTAGGACTAAATATTTAATATTTAATGTATGAATTAAATTAAATTAATTAATTTATTTGTGATGGAATCTTGTCCTGTTGCCCAGCCTGGAATTCAGAGGCAGAATCTTAGCTCACTGCAGCAATCTCTAGCTCCTGGTTTCAAGCAACTCTCCTGTCTTAGCCTCCCAAGTAGTTGGGATTACATGCAGACACTACCAAGCCTAACTACTTTGGTATTTTTAGTAGAGATGGGGTTTCACCATGTTGGCCAGGCTGGTCTTGAACTCCTCATCTCAAGTAATCTGTCCGCCTTGGCCTCGCAAAGTGCTAAGATTACAGGCGTGAGCCACTGTGCCTGGGCAGTTGTCTTAACACTTTAAAATAGCATTTTTTTTCTTTGTATTTGGATTCTGTTTATACATAGGAATTCATGTGCTTTTACTTCCCAAATTCTGTGTGCTTTACCACAAGGAAGTACTGGGAGTTCTCTGGATGGACCGTGATTCTGTCTGGATCTGAGTCTCTGCTCTTATTCTTCTTGTGGACATAAAACTCTGCTCTCTGTAGACGTCTTGTGAATTCATACTCATTCTCAAAGACCCATCTGAAATTTAACCTGTTCAAGGAAGCCTTCCCAGACTTTTCCAAGTAGTATGGAACACTTCTAATTTATATATGCCTTGTGAATGCTACTAATATAAAAATTATATTATTATATTATAGTCACTTGTTTATATGTCTGCCTCAACCATTAGACTAAAAAGCACTCCTTCAAGATCAGGAACTGAAATCTATTTCATTTTTATATTCTCAGTGTTTAGAATATTATCTGGAACATGATAAACATTTATCAAATAAATATAAAAATCCAAGGCAGTATCACCTTTTCCAATTTTGTTTTATTTTTTATGATAGCTTTATTTAAAAGAAATGCTTTTTTCTGTGTATTAAAATTTTTATTTTGAGATATACAATTGTAGTATGTATTTATCATGTACAACATAATGTTTTGAAGTACACATACCTTATTGAATGGTTAAATCTAGCTAATTAACAAATTCATGACCTCACATTGTTATCATTCTTTCGTGGAAAGGACACTTAATATCCACGCTCTTAGCATTTTCCAAGAATACAATATATTGTCTTTACCTATAGACACCATGCTATACAATAGATCTCTTGAACTTCTTCCTCGTAACTGTAATTATGTACCCTTTAACCAACATCTCCTCAATCTTCTCTCCCTCCTAACCACCCCAACCTCTGATAATCACCATTCTACTCTCTACTTCCATGAGATCAACTTTCCTTCCTTCCTTCCTTCCTTCCTTCCTTCCTTCCTTCCTTCCTTC